GGTACAACTCTTAATACTAAATTAATTGATATTCTTTACGCTACGTTTGTTCACCAATTGTTTTACATATATTTTTCAAGATGTAGGTAATGCTTTTCTATTGGAAAAGAATATAATATTACATTTGTATATCTCTTTCGGTATCCGGACAAGGAACTTTAAGTCATGATTCCAAATTACTACTAATTAAATGAAGACGGCTAGAAGGACGTTTTAAAAATATATATTCTCATTATTAAGAGAATCTGTAGGGTTTCCATTCTATTCAAAATGCTTTTTTTCCCTATATTTAGGAACACTTTGTTTAAAAGATTTTGAAGCTAAGAACTCAGATTTTCTAAGTTTATATAACTAGGTCATACCTTTATATACGTATATACATATGCAGAAAAAATTTAAATGAAATACTACTTCTTGAAATTTTTATAAGTTTTGACAGCTTTTTTTAAAAAATGATAATTTCACTCTCAGATCAAAAGGTAAAATCCTTCATAAAGCGACATGTTAACTTCAAATGACATGTTTTTAACAATATTTATAATACTATATTGGAATTGTCCGACTAATAACACTAGATATGAAACATTTAGATATGTAACATTTCGAAAGAAACTATGTTTTAATATAACCTGCTGTGATAACTATTATAGCAATCAAAGTAAAAAACATTTGCGTGTAACTTTATCTAAAAACCTGAAAAAAAAATGGATCATAAAACCATATACTGTTGCGTTCTACGGGTTTGTGGATTTGGAGTAAGTGATGGCAACACTTGATGAATAATCAAAACACAATTTATACGCCAGTATTACACAGGATAGTTCCAAAAACACATTTACAGTTGTTGAAAAACTACGACAAACACGCTGACAGCCTTTAAAGTTGAACGCAGCTTCACCGCAAAGCACTAAAGTATAGCTTCCGACTCAGTCGATGGCTTTCTAGCTAATCTCTGAACTCAAGACACATTACACTATACTACTCTCTCTCTCAGTATAGGCAGGATATATGTAACTTTAACCTGTCTTCGACAATGTTCTCGAGAAAGCCGCTAAGAATGCGTTCTAGAATGTTCTCGCTCCGTGTATGGCATACCGCAAATTACATTCCCAAATATAGCTGAACGGGCGATTTTTCGTCAAATCTGGCAACACTAACCCTGCTTTGCGGAGAAGCTATCTCACTGCAGCTTGGCGTTTCGCTATAATACGATAAAATCAAATATCGACTATACCCACAAACACTTACGCATGAGTATATAAAATAAATACCTATAAGACTAATAAGCAAAATTATGTTTTATAATATAATAGTGTGTCTCAGTACCAGGGTTACAAACTAGAAGGAAGGATCGGGTGCACCAAGACGACCAGAAATCCCACAGCGATGTAGGATAGAAAATGCATTCCCGATACTGTAGATGGCGCCCACTCATAATATATGACTCAATAATATACAACACCTTATTTTGGCCAAGGGTGAATCGGGTATGATGGTCTGTTTCAGAGGGCTGCTCGATCACTGGAAATATATGACTCAATAATATACAACACCTTATTTTGGCCAAGGGTGAATCGGGTATGATGGTCTGTTTCAGAGGGCTGCTCGATCACTGGAAATATATGACTCAATAATATACAACACCTTATTTTGGCCAAGGGTGAATCGAGTATGATGGTCTGTTTCAGAGGGCTGCTCGATCACTGGAAATATATGACTCAATAATATACAACACCTTATTTTGGCCAAGGGTGAATCGGGTATGATGGTCTGTTTCAGAGGGCTGCTCGATCACTGGAAATATATGACTCAATAATATACAACACCTTATTTTGGCCAAGGGTGAATCGGGTATGATGGTCTGTTTCAGAGGGCTGCTCGATCACTGGAAATATATGACTCAATAATATACAACACCTTATTTTGGCCAAGGGTGAATCGGGTATGATGGTCTGTTTCAGAGGGCTGCTCGATCACTGGAAATATATGACTCAATAATATACAACACCTTATTTTGGCCAAGGGTGAATCGGGTATGATGGTCTGTTTTCAGAGGGCTGCTCGATCACTGGAAATATATGACTCAATAATATACAACACCTTATTTTGGCCAAGGGTGAATCGGGTATGATGGTCTGTTTCAGAGGGCTGCTCGATCACTGGAAATATATGACTCAATAATATACAACACCTTATTTTGGCCAAGGGTGAATCGGGTATGATGGTCTGTTTCAGAGGGCTGCTCGATCACTGGAAATATATGACTCAATAATATACAACACCTTATTTTGGCCAAGGGTGAATCGGGTATGATGGTCTGTTTCAGAGGGCTGCTCGATCACTGGAAATATCACGTCTTGATTATTTCAGCTGGAGGCATGTGTTTGCGCCTTATGTAAATTTTGATTTTGTTCCCTGAAAGAGGGCGCCTGCGAGCGCCGAACTACCTGTATGTCTATTGTACGAACTTGTTCTTCACTCAGTCTAATAAACGCAGTAACGAACGTTTGTGTCTACTTTCCATCCGCTAACATGGTCCGTCGTGAGCCAGCGCATTTCTTTGGATGATGTGTCAAGACAATTTTTAACGTTCTGGTATAGAAGGACATTTCGTGCAGGGAAAACGGATTTATATTTTGTCTGGATTGTGAAAACAGCGGCAGGAATATGGAGTCGATTTTAAAGCAAAAGCGAATCATTAAGGGTAAGTTGACTCGTTTAATTTTACAAGTAAATAGTTTACAAAATCTAGAAAATTCTTTTTCTGCCATTGAAGTATACGAAAATGATGTTGGTGCATTAGGTGTTGAAGTGAACTGTTTAAACGATAACATTCTTGGTACTTGTTCTGAAGCAGAGTTTAGTAAATATGAAATAGAAATGAATGAACTATTTTCCAAATTAGATGTATTAAAAATTACTTTAAAGGAAGAATCAAGAAAACTTAGTAATTCAGGCAAAGATATAATAAATGCTAATGCAAACGGCTTGAAACTTCCTCGCGTGGAATTGCCAGTGTTTACTTCTAATTATGTTGACTGGATATCATTTAGGGATTTATTTCTTGCCAGTGTTGGAAATAATAGTACATTAAGTGACAGTCAAAAATTGCAATATCTTAAGCTTTCTGTGAAAGGTGAAGCTGCTGTTTTACTACAATCAGTTCAAATTTCAAACGCGAATTATGAAAAGGCATGGGAAGCGCTTACTGAACGTTATGAAAACGAAATAGAAATAATAAACGCAGCATTAAATAAATTAACTTCACAACCTGTTCTAAAACATGAATCAGCTTCAGGTTTGCGGAGATTAATTAATACAACACAACAGTGTATTGATACATTAAAAATCCTTAAACAGCCGGTAGAGCATTGGGATACTATGATTATTTTTCTGTTAAAAGGTGTTGGTGTATTTAATTATGGCAAAGCACACGAGGGCTATCTGCCTAAAAGGAGGGATGCCTTTCGTGGAGGACTTTCTAAGGGAAACTGGCTCGTATACACGTTACACATGAGGAAAACCACGAAAGCGCCCATGCAGCCAGCCCGTTCGCGGGATTCGAACCTCAGACCGAACTACCAGTGTTCAGCGTCTTTACCGCTCGGCCGCTGGTGGGCCCTGTTAAAAGGAAAACTTGATTATGAAACACTAAAAGAGTGGACGATAGAGCATTCGAACAAGAAAAATTTCTGCTTTCGCTGAATTCAAGCGTTTTATTTTAAACAGAGCGAATGCTATTGCCTCTTTGGCGAAAGTGCCAGAGGGAGAACGTCAGTTTTGCCTTCTGAAATTAAAACTCGCGCGGTTCAGGTAGCAGATACGCTTTTTCGTCCCAACTTGTGGCTAATGTGTGCATTCATTGTAAGAGTAATTCTCATTCTCAGTTATTTAAATGCGATAGTTTTTTAATGCGATAGTTTTTTAGAACTCCCCTATCACAGAAAAATGGGATATTATTAAAAGGAATAAGTTATGTGCTAATTGTTTGAAGGATAGTAAAACGCATCCCATTTTTAAATGTCGTGCAGGTATGTGTAAATATTGTTCGAAGCCCCATAATACAGTGTTATGTTCGAAAAATTCAAATGATGAAAAATGTCATATACCCATGGAACACGGAACTTCTGCTATTAGTAGCAATAACGCCACGGTGCCTGTTACGCAAGCAGTTTTATTGCCTACTGCGATTGTTTATGTTAAAGATATTAATGGCGATTTACAAAAATGCAGGATGCTCGTAATTGATTCAGGTAGCCAGGGCTCATTAATTCGGGAGCACTGTGTAAATTTACTGCAGCTAAAACGCACTAGTACAAACATAAGTGTAAATGGCCTGAGCTCGCAAAAAATTGGAAAGGTTTCAGGTTCAGTTCAATTACAAGTAACATCTCCATTTTATAAAAACGCAAGCATTTCAGTTAATGCATTAATCATACCCAAGATCACGTGTGACCTTCCTCAATATCAAGTTGATAGATCTGTTTCGACATGTTTCAAACATTTGTGGTTGGCAGATTCAAATTGTTTCCAGCCTGGCCCAATAGATATTCTTTTAGGCGCAGATGTATTTGGCGAGATAATGCTTCACGGACATTTAACTGTTCCGGGTCATTCGTTAACAGCCTTAAAATCAATATTCGGCTGGGTCATTATGGGAAAGACTAAAAGTGTATCACAGACAATTGTATAGAATCATGCTAGTTGTACCAATGTTCAGCTCCAGCTTGAAAAATTTTGGAAATTGGAAGAAATTTCGGAGATAAAGCATTACACAGAAGAGGAGATTGTGAAAGTCATTTCAAGCGGAATTTTTCTCGTGATTCAACAGGTAGATTTGTTGTTAAGTTTCCATTTCGTAGATCGGGAAATGAACTTGGGTCATCAAGGGATGTTGCTGTACATCGTATACAAATCATTGAACGTCAATTTATTAAGAATAAATCTCTTTCCAGTCAATATCACAAATTTATGGAGGACTATACCAACAACTTGGTCATATGGAATTGATTCCAGAAAATGAAATTGATGTTCCAGCTAATTCTAGTTTTTACCTTCCGCACCATTCAGTTCCGGATAAAAATGGTGATAAATTTCGAGTCGTATTTGATGGTTCTGCAAAATCTTCTAGCGGTATTTCTCTTAATGAGAAATTGATGGTTGGTCCACAGTTGCAGACTGATCTGACAACATTAATTATTCGTTTCAGAATTCACAGAATAGCTATAACTGCAGATATAGAAAAAATGTACAGACAAATTATGCTAAAAGAAGCAGACTTTCAGAGAATAGTCTGGCGCGATTCACTTTATAAACCAATTCAGGATTTTCGATTAACTAGGATTGCTCACGGTACTGCATCAGCTCCGTACCTTGCGGTAAGATGTTTACAGCAGTTAGCCATAGATGAAGCAACTAATTTTCCTTTGGCTTCCAAGACATGTCTTAGGGACTTCTACGTTGATGATTTGATGTCCGGAGCCAATTCAGTTACTGAAGCTATAGAATTACAAATGCAAGTGAATCAGATGTTGTCACGTGCAGGATTTGTTCTAAGAAAATGGGATTCTAACAGCAAAGAAGTCTTGAATTCAATTAATCCAGATTTGTGCTTATCAAATGTTTCTTTGAACATAGACAATGATGATACTATAAAAACGTTAGGTATCCTGTGGCATCCAGCTTCAGATATGTTTTTATTCAAAGTCAATTCATCATATCCTGAAGTCTTAACCAAACGAACATTACTTTCAATAATCGCAAAGACCTTTGACCCTCTTGGATGGTTGGCACCGATCACGGTTCGGTATAAATTGATTATGCAAAGATTGTGGAAACATCAGTTGCAGTGGGATGAAAAGGTTCCTCCAGATATTGAATGTGAGTGGAAACAACTTACAGAAGATATGTTATTCATTAAAAGTATCAAAATTTCACGATTCTTGTTGGTTGAATCAGATAACCAGTTTCAACTGCACGGGTTTTGTGACGCCTCAGAGAAGGCCTACGCCGCTGCAATTTATTATCGTTCTGTGTTAGATATTGGACAAATCAATGTTCAGTTGGTGATAGCCAAAACAACAGTTGCACCACTAAGAAATATATCACTTTCCCGATTGGAACTTTGTGGAGCATTACTGTTGACTAAATTAATGGATTTCACCTGTAGGGCTTTAAATACTCCTATATCGCAAGTTTATTTTCATACTGATTCCACTATTGTATTAGCCTGGATAAGATCTCATGCAAGCCTATGGAAGACCTTCGTCGCCAACAGAGTAGCAAAAATCCAGACTTTATCCTCTCCTGTCCAGTGGCATCATGTGAGTGGAAATGCTAATCCTGCTGATCTTGCAACGCGTGGTGTGTTATCATCTGCACTGGTTACTTCATTGTGGTTACGTGATCCAGATTTATTGTATAATTTATTTCCTTTTCAGCAAGCATTGTCTGCACCACTATTGAATGATTCTGTGCCAGAGCAAAGATGTGCTTTTCAGTCAACAACTGCTGCCAGTCACTTGACAGACGCTTATGATTTATTTTACAAATATTCTTCTCTCACTAAATTTAAACGTGTTGTAGCATTATGTCTGAGGTTTGTAAATAACTGTAAAAATTCAGAAGATCAGGTAAGTGGATTTTTAAAAACAAGTGAATTAACTAAAGCTATGCATGTGTTAATTAAATTAATGAAATATGTTGAATTTAAGAATGAAATTAAGACTTTAAGCAAAAATCAATCATTATCTTGTACAAGCAAAATTTTATCTTTTAATCCATTTTTAGGTAATGCAGGTATTCTCAGGGTGGGCGGTCGCTTGCGACATGGAAACCTTGCATATGGCTTTAGGCATTCCATTTTTTCTGTCAAAGAGGCACATTTTAACTCATCTCATTGTTAGACATTACCATGAAATACTTTTGCATGCAGGTCCACAACTTATGCAATCTTGCATTAAAGAACAATATTGGATCATAAATGGTAGAGCTGTTATCAGAGATTTAGTTAGGAAGTGTATAGAGTGTTGCAAAATTAGAGCATCTGTCAGTAATCAATTGATGAGCGATTTGCCGTCTAGTCGCGTTTACCCTGCTCCTGCGTTTTTGCGCTGTGGAGTGGATTACGCAAGTCCTTTTCAAATTAAAGTAAATAAGGATCGAGGCTCTAGGTCATTCAAGGCATATATATCTATATTTGTTTGTTTTACGACAAGAGCTATTCACTTAGGATTAGTGACAGATCTTTCAGCAGATGCTTTTATTGCAGCTCTCAAGAGGTTCATTTCCCGCAAAGGCAAAAGCAGTGATGTATATATAGTGATTGCGGCTCCAATTTTGTTGGAGCAAAACGCAAGCTCATGGAATTTGAAAGGCTTGCTAGATTTGCAACTTATAACCAAAACGTTAGCAGATATTTGGTTGATAATGGCATTAAATGGCATCTAAACGTTCCAGGTGCGCCACATGTGGGTGGACTCTGGGAAGCTGGCATAAAATCAACAAAAATACCATTTAAAACGAGTAGTTGGTGAGGCGAGATTGACATATGAAGAATTTGAAACATTTCTCACACAAATAGAAGCTTGTCTTAATTCGCGACCTTTAACAAGTTTGTCTAATGATCCAAATGACTTGTCAGCATTAACGCCTGGTCATTTTCTTATTGGTAGATCATTAACAAGCATTCCTGAACCAAATTACATTGAAGTTTCCCATCTCACTAGATGGCAACATATTCAAAAAAATGGTTCAACAATTTTGGAAGCGTTGGCACAAAGAATATCTGTGTCGATTACAACCAAGACCAAAATAGCTTTTGCCAATTAAAATCTTCAAATTAATGAATTAATGATCTGTGTCTCATAAATGAAGATAACTTACCTCCAACTAAACGGAAAATGGATAGAATTACTCAATTACATCCTGGTCTTAATAATATTGTTGGGGTTGTGACTATTAAGACTTCAAATGGCATGGTCAAAAGAAATATTACAAAATTGTGTCATTTACCAATTTGAGTTTTAATTCATGTATTATAAATTAAGTATTATATCATGATTTTAATATTGTATTGTGTTTTAAATTTACTGAATTTTAAGCACTGAATGTTGAAATAATATTTCAAGGTGGGCGGCATGTTTGCGCCTTATGTAAATTTTGATTTTGTTCCCTCCAAGAGGGCGCCTGCAAGCGCCGAACTACCTGTATATCTATTGTACGAACTTGTTCTTCACTCAGTCTAATAAACGCAGTAACGAACGTTTGTGTCTACTTTCCATCCGCTAACAGCATGTGTGTGTGATAACGATCAAAAACTGAGGCGGAGATGCACAGTTACTGCAGTGGGACTGTATTTACAGTACATGGACCTTATAAGAGATAGACTAACCCAGTGGGCGAGGCGCGCGTCACAGACATGTCGGCAAGAAAGAGTAGGGAAGATCTGGTTTAATTTAACACTGAAACCTATGGCGTTTGTATCACATAACTCTTTTTAATTATTAAATGTGATACGTTGTATAGTGATGAGATTATGAAAACCACAGTTTCTTCCAAATAGGATTTAATATATCTCATTAAAGCACTTTTTATTGCATTTCGCGCATTTTTTCACGCATAATTCTTGTACAAACATCTTTACTTTGGTAAAACGGTAAAAACTCTAAGTACAAAATATATGAACTTAATTTTGAGTAAAAATAAAATTTAATTAAATAAGATTGATAGTACGAGATGCTTTGAAATAAATATAGTAAAATTAAACATAAACTCGTATAATTAAAAAAAAATTAATGAACATTTTCAGGCAGTGATTTTCCAAACTATAATAACATTACAAAAACGATTATTTATTTGATTATATCATCATTAAATTACTAACATTAAAGTAGATTATTTCTTTTAGTAATTTATAAAATTCGGAGCATAAAATTTTCTGAGTGTAATGAAGAGGGAAAAAAAAGATAAAATAAAATTTAGAAGCACTCAGATTTTATATTACGCCTAAAAGGAACCTTTATTTAACGTTTGGTGTGTTACCTATGTGTATTGAATATCATGTTCTTCGCCCGTAAACCACGTACATTTGAAAACAGCAAACAGCATATCTTTAGAATTTCTGCACAGGAGATAAAACTGTTATTTTCCGTATAGTGCTCTCTCTGAACTCGTTGAGTTTGTTAATCAAAAATTCTTTAAAGTTTTACAAAATATGAAATAGATTAAAACAAATTCGAAAATCAGCCGTCCAGATGCCCATGTTCGGGTGGAGGATTACATTATTCAAAATTTGATGGCTCTAGATACCGTCGTTTTTGTCACAGTGCGAGAAACATATATGCATTCATACAGATTCTTCATTATTTAATTTCTGTAAATATAATACAGGGCAATAATATTTGGTAACAACAATTTGCAAGGAGACACGGACATTTATAGTAAAACAGCGCAAAATGCCCCTTCGAAACTAACAGCCTTTCTAGGCTACCGCCCCTTTGGGCTAATAAATTAACAGTAAATAAAAAAATGTTATACAGAACTAAAAATAAATTTAAAAAATAATCACTATAAAATACAAGCAAAATTAAGTATTACTTTTAAATGCAATTTTAATATTAGAATTAAATGTATAAAAATTATTAAGGATTCAAAAGTGTTTATCACTATGATGTATTATGAAATATAATTGAAATAACATTCCTTTATAGAAATTGTGCTATAAAGGAATAATTTTAAAAAAGCAGCACAATTTAGAATTTTAAACAAAACTTTCAAAAATTCGTTTTTAAATATTTTAGTATTTTTTACTTATTTACACCAATAAAAAGCATAAAAATTGCAAGAGAAAATTGCTTGTTTGAAATTTTCTATTAGTTCAGATTTAAAATATTATTTTCTAAAAGAAGTAGTTACAAATTTCTTTACAGCATAGGAAAAGCTAAAAAAAATATCCAGTCCTGAAAGCATGCAATAGCTTTATAATTATTTGGAACGTTAATAATGCTTGATAAATATGATAAATTTTTAAAAATAAATCTCAATTTCAAAAATAAAAATATGGAGAAATTCTAATTTGTGAAATGAGGCGCTACAACCAGCTTTTTCTTGACAATTATACACGCTGCAATAGGCAACCACTGTTAAATTTCTACAAGTCGTCCCTACTCCTTTGGATGTGATCAAGGTGACAGCTGGGGACGCCTCAGACGAGGGAGAAAACCCATTTGGGTTAGTCTATTTCTTATAAGGTCCATGTTACAGTACCAGTGATGAAATTCTGGAGTCGCGCCTACTTCTATTGTGACGTAATGATATGGCAGTCCCGTTGACAACGCTGAGACGTGGTCACACAACGCTCAGACGTGGTAGTCACACGTAACACAACGTGGTAATCTTTCATTTCTGGTCTCTCCCGTCTATACTACCATACGCATCATTTGCTATCCTCCATTGCTATGCGATTCCGAGTCGTCTGGAAGCACCCTGCTCCTTCTACATATTTGCAACCCTGGTAATGAGACACCCTATATTTACATATCTGTCACACAGGATGATTCAAATCTCTAGAAACATCTTTTGCAAACTGTTGCAGGAATCGAAACTAAAAGTGATTTATAAATAAGTGGAGGAATGCACTACTTGCTGGTGGACGTAACTATTACGTTCGCCACAGTCCGTCTTGCGCAAAACTTCAAAATGGGAAAAGGGGTATTTCAAGGGCGCAGCCCCATCCACCTAATCGATGTGATTTTATGAAAAAGGTGGCATGCGCCAAACCAAAACCACAGACGAGGGCATCCAGAGATCCAGCCATGCCCCAACAAGAAAAAAAGGCAGCAGAGCAAAAATAAAATTGAAAATAGTCAAAATAAAAATGCAATAACACTAACATCAAACTCGAAACCTTTAAAATTAAATTAAAATATAACCGGGAAACCAATTATTGTTAATGGACCCCGAATAACAAAAAACACATATAACGAAAACCAAAAATAAAATAATAAGATACGACCGTTAAGATAAAACCCAACGGACCTTTAACGGCACAATAGGAAAGCAAGAAGAAATAAATATAAAAGAACCAAGCAAAATGCATGTTAGTAAAAAATTATAATAAGCAAAGGATAGAACAACAAATACCACATACAGACCACTCATACAAAACGCACAACACACCTTAAATTAAAATGCCAACTATGGCTCGATTATTATTTAAAAATCTAAAAAAGCTCTTCAGCAAATTTAAAATCCTTTTCTTTTCCAGTAAAGATTTTATTAAATTCATATTTTCTCCGTATATCATAAGTTAAGCGACAAAATTCTACGAAGTGCCTTAGAGTTCTAGTAGTCCCACAATGACAACATAAATTATTCTCTTGTAATTTAAATCTGTTTAAATACGCCGGGAAGCGTCCATGTCCGGTAACAATTTGGTTGAAATCAATATGATAAGAAATATGTTTGTTATAAATTAATTCCAAATGAGAAGCATAATCTTTTTTTCTATTAGATCTATTCCAATCATCTTTCCATAGATCAAAATAGTAATGTTTCATCTTATTCAATACAATTTTTCTAGAAGGTTGGACGCTCCCCAGCCATATCCAAAGCTGCCTCCTTGGCCAGCACGTCGGCCCTCTCATTTGCAATTGTCCCAACATGGGACTTCACCCATTTAAATTTAACATTATGTATTTCAGAAACATTTTTGTCTAAACATTTGATATCTAACACCAAAGAATTCTTATTTTCAAAACACTTCAAAGCTTGTAGTCCGGATAAACAGTCACT